TACCAATACCCTGTTCCATTTCCTGAATTTGATAATGACAGCTCTAAATTAAATCTCGATAAACTTGAATCGATATCTCCACAATATATTTGGACCGACGAATCTATTGAGCCTTTTCATCACGCAATGCAATCCTTTGAAGTTAAAACATTGATAAATGATTTTCTTTCTAAAGATTTTAATGAAAAAACTTCAGAATCGGTAGAAGAAGCGGTTCATCTTGTACAATCCATTTTTACAACGGCCTCATCTATGTCATTACGGTTAAAACGAGTTAAACAAATCAATAAAAAGAGAACACAAAAAATTTGTAACAAAAAATGGTTCGACTTGGATTGTAAGTTAGGCCAGGAAGGAACTTAGAAACCTTTCAAATCAAAAACATTCAAATCCATCCGATCCTTATTTGAGACAGTTATACAATCATGAATTAAAGAAATTTAAAAGATTAATAAAAATAAAGAAATATAATTTTCATCAAGATAATTTGCAAAAACTTCAAATTAATTCAGAAGATTCAAGTTTTTGGAAAATATTACAATCGGCCAATGAAGAATTTCATGAAGAATCTATACCTCCTATAAGTGAACAAAACTGGATTGATCATTTCACAAACCTGCATAAGAAACCATCATTAACTGCCGATCAGTCAATTCTTGAGTACAATTTACATCGATTGGAAAAAAACACTCCGCAGATAAATGATGCAATTAATTCACCTATCAATGATGAGGAAATTCGCTCGTGTGCTAAATTACTTAAAAATAATAAAGCTYCTGCCTCAGATAGAATAAAGAATGAAATGATTCGTCATAGCATTGATAGTATGTGCTCTGTATACATCAAGCTTTTCAATTTGATACTTAAATCTGGTATTTTTCCAGACGCATGGTGTGTTGGATCTTTAACACCAATCTTTAAAAATGGAGATATATCTGACACTAATAARTATCGGYGTATATGCGTTTCTAGTTGTCTAGGTAAATTTTTCACACTTATTCTTAATCGACGGCTTTTGAATTATGTTCAACAACATTCTCTTTTACACAACTCTCAGATTGGTTTTATGCCCGGCAACCGAACAACTGATCATATTTTTTCTCTTCGAACAATTGTAGATAGATATGTCAAAGATGTTAGTAGAGGAAAGATATATGCTTGTTTCATTGATTTTAAAAAAGCTTTTGATTCCGTTTGGCATGTTGGTCTGTTAACGCGCTTGCAGGATTACAATATTAATGGACATTTTTATAATCTTATCAAAAGTCTGTACTCCAAATCAAAGTGTTTTATTAAATTAGGTTCAAAACGTACAAAAACGTTTGATTACACACGAGGTGTCCGACAAGGATGTATTCTAAGTCCTCTA